TGTATATTAATCAAACACAAAAATCTAATTAATTTACTCTCCCGTTAAAAACCATATTATACAGGGTTAGTGGGAACTCGACTCGCTACTTTGCAGTTCGCAGTTCGATAGAAAAAGAAAAACTGATTAAAGATGGTGTAAATAATTTATAATATACAACTTATAACATAGCCAAGTAGCTTAAGTAAGGAAGGTAATAAAAAATCTAATATTGAAATAAAACCTAATACTAAATCTAAAATGCATATATAAAGTCACGTTTTAAGTCGTTCTAATGTTCCAAACATTTATCCAACTTCACGGTCACGGTTATTTAAACAATTCATCCGCCCGCGCCGTTTTTAGATAATTTAATTATTGATGAGTAATAAACAATATTGGTAATTAATAATAAAATTTAATAACCATCATTCCAAGAAAGATTAGAAAAATAAAGGAAATATCACTAGATTATTGAAATAGGTACAACTTGTTAAAATGAGACTTGGCTTGATTTTTCCAGTTTCATAGAAACTCTGGTTCCCCTTTTGCAAACACTTAAATTCATCTCAAAATGAGCACAGTAAGTCGCCAAGTAATGAATTTACTACATTCTTTTAGTAGTAAGTAAATAATCACGTTCTTGATTACCTACTTGGGGCGTTATTTTTTTCAACGTTTTAGTTGATATCTTTTAAACCCCGCTATGCAGAATAAAAACATTAACGGTTCCTCAATAGATATTAAAAATCCTATACAATGATCCAATTTTGGTCGAGTCTCCTGCACTTTTGCTGTGGGGCAAATGTCCATGGAAAATGGGCCGTCTCCTTTGGCGGCTGGGATTAATCCGAACAATTCCTCAGAGCACTCCCCGTGGTAGATGCGAAAGAAAATGCAAAGGGATGCAACATCTCTTCGCAGTGCCAATGAATCGAGCCGATCGGAAAGGACTAGGTCGTCGACGATTCGAGCCGCTCTGCGCTGGATGCGGTCAAGTGGAAGGAGCTGGCACTGGGGAGCCCCTGCCCAGAGATGGGAACAGTATTCCATGTGAGGCTGAACTTGCGCTTTGTAAAGTTGCAGGCCGTGTGCCGGCATGAAATACTGTCCCGCTCTGCTGAGCACGCCAAGCTTTTTAGAGGCCAATTTGGAAACTGCACGTCACTCGATATGTCCACTCCGAGGATTCCGATATTGGCTGAGGCAAGAAGGGGAGTGCCTTGAAACTGAGGAGATACGACAAAGGGGTTCTTTTTAGCGGTAAACGCGCAAACTTGTGTCTTCTGAGGATTAAACTGGACTAGAGATTAGATTAGACTGCTGATGAAGTGATCCCGAGTTCGAATCTATTATAATCCTGTTCTACACAGATGGCTAGTCTCTATTGAGACGCCGCCGCGACCGAAATTCGGTCTGGAGGACATTATTTTACTATCGTTAATCACAGTGCACGTGAGTTTTTTTTTGCCATAATCTTTAGCCAAATTGCCTAGTGTACAAATAAGGTACAGCGCACACTGTAACGATATGGCAAGGTATTTAGTGACAAACCATAACACACTAGAATAGCATAACATTAGAAAATTTCAATGATACTGGTTGTTGTTTAAAAACAAGTGTGATACCTCCTAGTATAGATAATAGAATAAAAGCTGTGGTAGCTATTATTTGGGATGGGCAACGGTAATATTCAATAGCCATCAGGCTCGGCGGCACATGCTGTTGCCGTTTAATTCAATTTGCTCTATTTAGTAATCTCTCACAATTGAAACTCGATCTCAAGGTACGAGGAGAGCTCGATTTAAATGTTTTTTTTTTACATACTGCGTGACAGCGGGTCGGTTAGGCTTTTCAAATGTATCTGTTTAGTATCTGTCTATGTACGCATCTCAAAGGAAAGGTGGATTTTTGATGCGTTATGTTATGTTTGGTTATTATGTACTTAACCAAAATGGCGGCCTTAAAATGTAGAGACAATTAGATTAGACATATTGAGTATTATTACTGGGTATAGGTCTTTGAAAATCAAGATGATGTGCCCTAGAATATTTTTACACAACCTGGAAGTTGTGTAGGTAGGATGTCTAATTACTTTTCTTTAGACTAGCGACCCGCCCCGGCTTCGCCTGGGTAGGATCTATTGACGTTATTTAAAATAAAGATAATCATCAATGACCATTAATTTTTTTAAGGTTTTGGTTTTTTTAAAAAAATAACGTTTCTGATAAAGCCTACATCACCTCTGGTATTGCTTTCTATCCCAAGTCCGTCAAGTTTCATTACAATCGTTGCACCCATTCCAAAGACTAATCCAGACAGACAGACCGACAAAAATGGTTGTTCATGTCTTAATGGCATGGAAATAACCTAGCGGCAACACACGACTTTGGTCGCTACGGCTACGCGCATAGGTAAAGTTTGAGCGAGAGGCCGCTTGTCCTTGAGCCGATACAAATTGCTCAAAGCGTGAGGTTGTAGGTTCTGTTGGACGCCTTGAGATTTGTTGAACTGTATTGCCCATGGTGGTATTGGGTATTAATGATAGTTTATAATTTATATCTCTTACATTCGCGGAGACGGCGCTCCGAGTTCGACGAGTTCACGTCGGACAGAGTATCTCCTATTTTGCATCACGATGTCATTAGGGTCGTTTAAAACGTTCCTAATCTCCTGCAGTTGGTTGCGCAGTTATTTCAATATTGCAGACTGACACTTGTTTTTAATATTTTCCTTGTTCAATTGTCCGATTTTATGCAAAATGGAACCACACGACAAATTTCATTTTTTACTTTTTTTGAAGAATACTAATTTTAAAGTGGTCTAAATTATTCTTCAAAAACGAACCACATGCTTTTTTCCTTGGAAACAATGTATACGAAATGCAGAACAGAACCAACAGCAACAGTAAACACCGAACCACAGTACAACGGGACTCGATTGTTCAAACAAATAAACGATATTACTACCATGTAATATTATACATAACAGATCCACACATACTTGGTACCATTACACATTACACATATTTTTATTATTAACAATTATTTTTAATACACCAAATGGAACCAAGTTTCTGTGGTATCTTTATGCATAAAATAAATTCATAATTAATTTTTCTTTGTTTTTGTATAATGGAACTATAAGCATTCACCGCGAAGAAAGTTCTATTGGTTTTGTTAATTTCTTTAGAATTTAAATAATTAAACATGTGAGCGCGAGACGTAGAATGTCTCATGTTTGATCTTCAAAAACATTGCCAATCTAAGATGTTTTTAAAATTGTAGATACGTCATACTCGCTCTAAAATGGCAATACGAAAGTCAGGTAATTGCCCGACTCGCATTCAGTCGGGCACGCTCTCGCGTCGCGGCTATACCTTCGCTACAGCGCGTAAATCTTCTAGTTATTCGTGGCAAAAAGGCCTTTCTGTGTTTTTAGGTGGTGCACAAATTACACGGCAACTATTAGAGACAAGAAAAACGTCTTGTTAATATTTTGAATATAGATGTTTTATTCATAATTGGTTTTATTATTTCAACACTAACCGCTAGCGTAAACTTTAACGCTAGCTAGTGTGTTCATTTTCCATATCGGTATGTCACGCGCTCGCGCCAATGAGCGCTCGGCAGCAATCGATACGCAACTAATGATGTATATTCATCTTCTTCTAACGATATGTATGCCCTATCATTTGTCTCTTTTTGTTAGCGCAACGTGCCATAATAAATAACTGTACGTAGATATAGTACTACCTGCGCCACTTTAAAATACAATAATGTTAGTGTGTAACCTGTCTATCTTTTTAATACGTCTTTGTTGCCAATGCCTTAAATCCATACGGGAATTATTTAATATAAGCAACAGCTTCGGTTGTACAATATGGGAATTTATTCTCCAAAAACTAAGAGTGAGCACTTTGTATGGATAGAAAGAATGGCTAGTAAAGGTGCCCAGGAAGTCAGTTCTTGTCTAGTAAAATACTTTGGCGAGCATATTTCTTAGGTGTCGAGGAATTAATTCTATGGAGCGATCACGTGGAGAACAGAATCGTAACATAAATATAGTATTGACGTTAAAATCATTTTTGCATTATCATACCCAATGACAGAATTTTCTACATTGAAACGGCAATAAAGAAATATCCGAGACTATACACTGCCGATGATTATGTGCAGGTTATGAAAGGGTAGTAATAAAAGCTCCGACAAAAAAAATAAGAATTGCCCTTACTCAAAATATGAAATCTACTGCCTCAAATACTAACTTTCCGAACTACTTTTGTCCGAATAAAAATGACGAAACGACCGAATGAAATACTGAAATCTTCGAAAATTAAATATTAACCTTTAGTGCAATAATACTTTTCTACCAGCTTAAATTAGGTTTTACTGAAAACTATGCTTTGTAATTTTTATCTGTTCTTACCTACTATTAACATACTCGTATAAATTACCTTCCATATTTCATGGACTGTGGTGCTATTTTAACTACAACGTCATACAGAAACTTATAAAAAATATAAAAATGTACTTGTAATAATATTACCTTTTACTTATCATGAATTATACTTACCACAGGTATGCTTCGATATCAGTACTTACTTCAGCCCCCATAACATGACCATCGAAACACAATATGATAAAGCGATTTATCGCTATGAACTGTCAAAATACAATGGAATTTTGAAAGTTCAAAGCGATAAATCGCTTTATTATATCGTGTTTTAGTGGCCATGCTACTAGGGCAGGCGTTAAAAATTCAGAACAGTCATATAGATAAATCTAAACCCAGGTGGATTTTGGTTTCCTACAATATTTTACTATTATCCTGTTTTTTTTTTTAATCAACAAATTCCCTTGTTTTTATAATATTAGCGAGAAAAGAGATAAAAATAAAACAAAATTCAGTTCATTATAAAAATATTCTTTGATAGGTAGTACAAAATGTCATACATAACTGTACTTATGAACTAAATAGGGAGGTAGGTAGTTGTCAGTATCTTAATTATCTTCATCGTATTATAAGAGCAGGTCTGGATTTAGTAGGACGACCCCGTTTCTTTTTTGTCCTATAGGTAGTGCTTTCGCTTCCATAGGTGGAGTCGCGAGCTTCAATCTAATAGCGAGCCCTAGAAGGTGTTTACAAACGTATTTTTTATGAAACTGTGGGCAAGTGCAGGATCCTTTTCTCCATTCTACATTTTGTGTTTCGTTTTTAGGCACTGTGACTTTCCAGAAAGCAAAATGTTTCATCTTGTAATCTTCAAAGTTTAACCACTGCTCACCGTACGATACCTCTCCTACTTGGCTACTACTTGGGATCAAGTATTCAGTGTATGCCGTGTTGAATGATAAAATCTTTATTCTTAAATCTTTCCTTGCCCAGCAATACCCATCGGTCCAGTCCTTCAGCTCAATAGTAGGTGTTTCAAGTAAAGGTTCTTTGCAGCTTTGTAAAGACCACTGAGCAACCATCTCAGTGGCAATGGTCAAGAAATGTGAAAGTGGAAGACGTTCACGTAAGGTGTTTTGGTCTTTTATGTTCCGATTGAATGCTTCTAATGCATTATTTGTGGCGGGTGAACACGGCGCTGCGCCTAAAAACCAATTTGGATGTTTCTTTAACTATTCTTCTTTAAAGTAGTGAATGAAATCGGTTTGAGTCTGCCATTTTTCAACAAAAGCCTGTGATGCAGCATTAAATACTTCATATGATGTAGCATTATGTAGTGCGTCTATGTCTTGTTTGATATCTTTCTGTTTCGTTTTATTGTTGACGGTTTTCTGAACTTTTTGGTGCATATTTTTCTTCGCGTGAGCCCAGCACATACGAATAACTGGTGTGGTACCAGAAACTGCGATGAAAGCATTTCTTATACTCTGAGCAGCGTCACAAACTAAAACTTTAGGTTGCATCACGTGATCAAATAAAGACAGAACCTTTTCTTTAAGGTAAATCTTCTTGACGTTCATTCGTGGACACACCAAGACAAAGCGGATGGAACTTGCGGTTCTTATCAGTGGTACCAAGAACTAAAACGGGGAACCCTTGCCATATGAGTTTGTATGTGGCGTCTATGTGCAGTATGTCCGTGGAACAAGCTATGTTGAGTAATTTTTTAGTTGACAATGCCAGACGAAAACTTGGTTCTTCCGCTTCTATCACGTGATAGCTGAACACGAAAACTTCATTTTCATCACCGGGAATAGTTATTCGATCGAAAATCCATTTTTCAAGTTCACCTAAGTAAATTGCAGCTCTTCTGAACTTCTCGCGCCTTCTGTCATATAAGTAGTTGTTAAGTTGCCGTTTCGAAGGCGCCTTTATCCCTGTCATGTTGTTTAGAGCCTCTAATATAGCTTTTGGCTTTAGGTGTAAATCAAACAGCTTATTTATTGCTCTTTTAACGTTTTCCGGAATTCCGTACTCACTTCGCGTACCAATCTGGTCATGGTTGTGCTCTGAAGTGGTCTTAAAAATAAGAATATCATTACAGTCGTTTACAAACAATAAATACAACGCACAATCACACTATGACCCCTTGGATTTTACCTTGTTACAACGATAGAAACGTTTTTGTCCTTCATCACTGTCCCGAGTATAATTTCTTGACCAAGTCTTTTCATTACTCACAAATTTCTCTGCTTCTTGTACATTATAGCACCGTTTGATCAACACCCAACTTTTGTTACGACGATTCTTCTTCGCCGGTACCGATGGACCAGCTCCCTCTTCTTCCTCCTCCGACTCTGAACGGTACACAGGTACCTCATCCATATTTCACAACAATACTAAGTTTCCTTAATAGATACTAAATTAAGTTACCTAAGTAGATTTATTAGGTTTTTGACATCATAATATTAAAACAATAGCAACAAAAACTATTTAATTTCATAACTTATACAAACAAAACACGCAAGGATCGGTCGTTGCAAGCGCACTGCGCTCGGAACATCCATCCGACCTCGCGAAAACAGCCGAACGCGACCCGAACCCGATCGCGCGGGACAAACAGTTGAGGTATTTTCATCATTATTGAGAGTTAAAATATATTTGATAACTAACAATAGAAATTATAATAGTTCATGCAAGTCGTAAAAATATGATTATTTTGTCAAAACCTTTGTTGTCGGTAACTTAGTAATCTTGTCGGAGGTTCAGTATTTTATTCGGAAGTTTATTTTTGTTATTCGAAGATCTATTTTTTTTTTTTAGGAGAAATGTAATTTGACCGTTCTCTCCTTTGTTTGTTAAATTTGTAATTTTTTTTCGGTATCTATTGGGTTTTTTTGACGGTAATTTATTATAATGCTGGTTAATTAGAATAATAGTCGGCCACAGATCGTTGGAGATTAATTTGTTTTTCGGAACCATTGTTATTTCCCGTTATGAAAGATTGCAAAAAAAAATGAACCCGCTTACAGTTACAGTTATGGCGAAATCTGATTTTCTGGGAACTTCTAAGGTTGAAAAAATGATTATTAACAGAAAACGTAGCATTAATAAAGCGTGTATTAATTAATTGGCTACAAACTCGAGAAATATACCTACCGTCAGGGAAGCCAGTGTTACCAGCGAAACTAGCCGATATTCAGTCCATATAACATCTCATTCCACAAGATGCACAGAGTTTTTATAATGGTCTTGTGATGATGTAGTAGAAGACGACATATGGACTAGACACGGTGGATTTTGAAATCCAGTTTGATGATAACGTCGAATAAACGCTCTCTATATGTATTATTTTATATTTTTTATGAATTAAAGCTTTATTACGATAACAAAAATACATAGTTTCATTTATATCAGTAAATCCCTGGGTTGTGGTTCTTTTTTGTATATGAGAATACCTATTAATTAGTAAATGTTAAAAAGAACCACATGCACATTTTCTTAATTATCTAGAAAGTTTAAAAGTATCTAGAGCAAATTTATATACACATAAATAAATAATTTATCAACAAATTTGAATAAAATAAATAGTAATTTTACTTCAGCTGACAGAGCTGCACATGTTTTTGTAAATCATTTGATATCTCAGAAGTGCGTATTTGCTGGGTGGTTCCTTTTTGCATAAATACGGACAATTATAGTTTAATTTTAGAAACGTAACCTTAGTAAAGTATGTTTACACCATTACGAAGAACTGTGCTCTTATAATATTTAAATGTTTAGCGAAATCTAAGTCATATTTTTTTAAAATTTTATACGATATCATTTAATTTTTAAGACTGTCAATGTTACTAGTTAAAAATAAATGATTATAACAAAAATATTCGTGTAATTTTATTTTTCTTCTTTAACAAAAATTTTGAATATATCTTTTGTAGCGGAACCCTAAAAATAAGACCTACATTTTATGACACAAAAAATAGCGCGCTAGGCCATACAATCAATCGTTCATTTAGACTCAAAATTTCGCTGCCACAAAAAGCATTAAAAAATACATAGCATAAGTATTTATAGGCCTTCCCCTCTATGAGTCAATCCATGCTGTGCATAGATTGCTTCATAGAGGGCGGGCTGGCAACCGCAGTTTTTTTTTAATAATTATTATTTTAAATTGTTATCAGGAAGATGCTGCTGCCCATCTTTGTTTAACCACCCACTTTTGCCTCTTACGACACACACGAGATTTGGGGCAGTGGATTATCATAAACCGCCATTATATAGCAAATTATTATAATTTGCAACAAACTAATAATAAAATAATAACCCAACGGCTAGAATAAATATAGCTAGCTCGAAGAAACAAAAACCGACGAGGAAGAAGGATATCGCATACCACAATTCTCCTGCCGCGGTCAGTCTCGTACCAGTGAACGAAATGTAGGGCAGTTCCCTACTAGATTGATGACATGGTAAGTCATGCAAGAAGTCGATGGAATGCTGGTGGCTCAGGAACGTGTTTAGAGGAGTTCTTTGGACAGACGCTTATGCTTTTTACAAGAAATAGCAGTGGATTTGTGAGGGGTTAAGGTACCATTCTGTAGCCGTCCGCAGACAGCAGCAGCAGGCGACGTGTCGTCGCGACACTTCTGGTTTCTATGTAGTTCTATGAAGTACCTTCCGTACCTAGCGACACGTCATTTGCCGGAGCGGCAGACATGTCGCCCGACCGCATGAGATCAGTAGTGCCGCCAACGCCCGAGTGACACGTTGAATTTTTCTCAAAAAATGAGTTTCACCGATTCCGGGGAGGAGAAACTGATAAACCAGGTGGCCTAATATCCCACACTGTACGATGCATCTCACAATAATTATTTAAACAGTGTGACAAAAGATAATATTTTGAAAAAATATAGGAAAGGAGTTAAATAAAAGCGGTAAATAGGTACCTATATATTATATTTTGTTTACATAAATCGAGTACCCACAGAACATTCGGAACAGATTGCGGCTGCACACGGGCTGCTGCCGCCTACAGTCGAGTTCGGAATCATGACTGCAGCGACATGACGCTACGACATGTCGCGACGACCCGTCGCCTGCTGCTGCTGTCTACGGCTACGGAATTGTACCTTTTTAATCATAATTTATGATAAAGAGTCGGGTTTTTAAGTTATTACTATATTTTATTTACATTAAGCAATGTGATAACCATCTAGACCTTCATTATCACTTACCACAATGTGGGATTATAATCAAGCACTGGCTAATAATAAGTATATATAAATATAAGATATGCCATGCTGCAGTTATATTACTGGTATAGTTGTAACGCGAATGGGTTGGCTCGACCGGGGAAGGACCACGCTCTCACAGAATACCAGCGTAAAATAACAGCTTAACACTTTTGTGTTTCGTATGGTGAGTGTAGAGAACCAGAGACCCTTCTGGAAACGAGGCATTTCATCTTAGTCGTCACGGGTGAAAACGCATCTTTGATTCGTCATCGAGGATAGATGAACATATCTATGGACCACAGCAACCACTTACCTATAAAAAAAATCCAAGAAAAATACTTTCAAAATTGTGCAAAAAAACGTATTGGTACTTGTCCGCGAAATGATTGCAATGGTTAAACAATCAAAATGTTCACATAACAGACACGTTAAACGAATGCTTATCATTTGACCAACCACTAAATATGACCCTTCGTGATGCTCGATGCCCTTCCACTTTTTCATGCCACATATGTGGCCTCTCATTATAGCTAGTTGCAGGTGTCCTGGGCGTAACTCATTTGTTATTTTTATGTTATTATAAACAAATCTACACTTAACCTCTTTTAGTGATATCGGCATTACGGATCGAAATATAGGGCCTTTTACTATGTAATCTGTTTTAAATTAATATATGCATTGTTAAATGTGCTTTGCAAAATGTCCATTACTGGAATTGATTATTAAAATGAATATAAAACGAGAGCTTAAGTACTGTTGTACTAACTTTAAGACGTAAATTTTATTTCTTAGCATATACTTACTTTTGTTTGACTGCAATTCAACCTAAGTGGCGATAAAGTTCTAGATGATAAATCGCACAATTTAACGTAATAAAGGCCTATTAACTCTTGCCTTGAAGACGCCCAGATTTTCGTCCTTCGTGATAGCCGAAAGATGAAACGGGGACGGAAGAATTAAGGCACGTAAATCTTGCAGCACAATGCGAAGTGCCCATTGTTGAGGTTCGGAGAAATCTCAACTATGGGCGGGGGACCCTAACAACTGAAGGTGGTTATGTACATACATACTGTTACGGTTACAGCCTATCGAAAATCCACTGCTGAACATAGGCCTCCCCCATAGATTGTTTCAGAGTAAATTAAGACTTTTAGTTGTTACCAGCTGGTACCCGGCGCGTTGCTACCTCAGAGGAAATAATTGTGGAAATGTCGGTTTAAATTTGAAAGAGTTATATTGTTTAATTAGGAATGAATTCACATTGATTGAATTGGAATGATATATAACTTTCAAATAAATTTGTTGGTACGATCCGCGCGCCACCTACTGAAGTTAATTGTACTACGCCTATAACCTTCGCGCGAGTGCAAGCGATAAGTTGACAAAGTTTTAAGGCAATCTGATGAGCATGCAGAGATAGATGGCTGTAGTGTTATCTACCCGTAACAGTATCGAGCAATTGGTTTCATTAGATGCCAAGCTTTTGAGTCCGAGAAAGATTGCCAATAGTTCCAGATAATTTATATGGTAATTGCGTTCACTAACTGACCACCCTCTCGCATTCTTCTTCGCGAACTGCGCCCCAGCCAGTTCGTGAAGCATCTCAAAGAGCAGAGATCTCAAAGCAGCACAAAATACGAACAAACAAAAAAATTTTTATGTATTAGATTAAAAAGACGTTGCTGAAAAGGTTTGTTTCCCTTTGTTGCTTCTTATGACATCCACGACACGATATTATGGGATAGTGGAAATTATTACATCGCCACTAGTACACGGGTGCACCGCCACTCCACGGTGTGGTCATGTAGCTATATGTTTGCAGTTAAGTGTCGTTTAAAATATCCGTAAAATACTGTAACTAGCCGAACCGCGTGCTTAGATCACGTACAGTTCCAAAAAGTTATTTCTTTTGGTAGTGCCTTTTTTATATAAAGGGTAAGGGTAACAAATGAGCACACAGTCCACCTGATGGTAAGTAGTCGCTGTGGCCCATAGACATCCACATCTAGCCTAGACGGTAAGAGTTTGCCTGAGCTCTGTACGGTGGGTTTTGCAATTACTTTGTAATACATGTCTTCATTTATATCAAAACGTTTGGACAGAGTATGCCGAGAAAGCAGCCAATCAGCTCATTTTTCCTTGATTCGATTTTTATATATACATCTACTGATTTCATACTGAAACTATCACAATAGGACTCAGCCTTACACCATGTTTCGATGCGTCACACTTAGGCATAGTATCGTTTTCTACTGGGGAATCAGTAGTATTCAACAGTTCCAGATATTCCCTCATTCAAACTAAGTTACAAACAATTTTAGCTCGTTATAATATTGTTAGTACTACTAGGTATATAGTTGGGTTCCATCGTGATAAACAGAAACACGTACGTCATTTCTTAGTAAATAAATACAATGTAATGGAATAATTTTTATTCAGTTTAGACTACAAGACTAAAGATCAGTTCCGTGTAGGGTTGCCACCTTTTTTGATCTAATACTCGTATAGTATTTTTTCCCAAAAAAGATGCAAAAATATATAGTACTTTTGGGAAATTTAGGAAATAAAAAACACACATTTATTTTTAATCTGTATGTATTTTTCCATATATATTAGTTATTGCTCTTCGCTTTGGCCATCAATGATCTATTATTATATCATTGAAGGCCAAAGCACTAAATTAATTATCCTATAAAACAATTATAGGAATTTGACCAATTTAGATTCAGATTAAAATAAATTAACAAATAATTTTTAATTAAATTAATACATGCTCTATTTCTTACTTTCCATTTTACATTCATGACGGAAAAAATATTTCCACAGTTAATATAAAAAGCGCGACATTTGAATTAGGGATAAAAATATAGTATTTTTCGTACTATATTATTTTTCTATAACATATAGTACAATTGACTGAAATATAGTACGATACTATATATTATAGTACGGGTGGTGACCCTAGTCCTGTGAGACGCGGCGTGCGTGTCACAAGAGGCGACAAGGTGAAAAGGTGCCCTTTTTTATAGGATAAGGGTGACAAACGAGCACACAGTTCACCTGATGGTAAGTGGTTGCTGCTACCCATAGACATCTACATCTATCCTCTATTACAAATCAAAATGCAGATGCGCTGTCACCCGTGAGGACTAAGATGGAATGCCTCATTTCCAGTAAAAAGGGTCTCCGGTTCTCTACACTCACCATAGGAAACACAGCAGTGTTAAGCTGCTATTTTACGCTGGTATTCTGTGAGAGCGTGGTCCTTCCCCGATCGAGCCGACCCATTCGTGCTACAACTATACTACTAATATAGTTGCAGCTTGCAGCATGGCTCTACCACGAAAAACGCCCTTATAAGACAATCTATGGGAATCTATGGGGAAGCCTTTGTTCAATAGTGGACCACAGAATAAATAATAGAGTGAGCTTTGATAGGCCATAGTGATGATGATAATGATAAATAAACCATAGCCAATTAATCACATCATAATCAAAGATGTTTTTCTGGTTCAGGAAATAAGCTCAGTGTAATTCACACGTAACATTGATTTATAAATTGCATACTAAAATACGAAAATATTTAGAACTAGCTGTGCCCCGCGACTTCGCCCGCGTGTAATTTACTACGATTTCATGGCTATCAATTTTTTTGCGCGGCACCCTAATTTTGTTTTTGAGTAATGTTACCATCTTATGAATATTAACAAATATTGATGTTAATATATATACGATACTAACGTCACTCAATTGTTTTGCCTTCCCGGAACCCCTCCACTAACATTTAAACTTTTGGTATGGTATTAAAGTTCAAATTGACTTTTAAGTATTATTACGAATCTTTTGTATGGGAATATAGAAAAGTGTAGTTTTTTGTATTTTTCAGGCAATTTTTTAAATTTTTCTCTCCATAAGAACCACCTTCGTACTTCAAGGAATATTATAAAAAAAGAATTAGCGAAATCGGTTCAGCCGCTCTAGAGATTTGCGCTTAGCAACACATTCAGCGATTTATTTTTATATTATGAATTAGTACCTATGTGGTAGTGATCACTCAATCCCATGACTTATTATCAATCATGATGTGTTCTTTGATATTATAGGCAGTTCTGTACCAAACCTTGTTAGACATATTTTTCATTAAAAAAAAATTCCGATACTAATATAACAACAATCTAACAGTTCTCATGATCTCATCATATGAATCTATGTATAAACACAGAATAAATAATAGCATTATAAATTAAAGTAGGTACCTACCTGCGTCCGACGCGTCGCGGTGCCGCGCCGCTCGATACGCACGGCGCGCGCGTACCGCGCGTCGACACCCCACAGTGCCGGCACCGGCTGCCTCTAAATCGCACCCCTGCAAAAAAACCTTAGCGGATATAATTAATAGAATAATTTATAATCCAAAATTTAAAAGTCACAACTTGATCTCTTTTGTATTTGTGATTAAAACATATTACGAAGATTTAATTTGAAATAATTATTCAATTACCGTGCTAAGGTAAGAATGCCTTCTAATTATTACACAAGGTCGCACAAATTGAAATAGTTTTTAACATAGTAAGTATTTACTTTTAGTTAATACATTTTATTTTAATATAAGTTACAAAAAAAAACATTTAATCAGTTACCGTTTATATTGTGGGCATGTTATTTATTTTGTTTTATAAGTACGAAAATCAAATTTCCCGCATTTACTTTACAGTTTAAGGCGCACACCGCTGAGCCAACGTAGCTCGTGGCCCGTACAGACATACGTAACTCAAGATGAATGAACTAGACTTGATCAAAGAAGTTGAGAAACGACCAATTCTGTACGACAAGTCAGTGAGCGGATTTAATAAGACAAAATTAAGAGACGATGCTTGGAAGGAAGTACAGAATGCTCTACATGTATCAGGTAAATTTTTAGCCACGAAGAAAATGAAAATCTTAATTAGTTATAGTGTCTGTGTCATCACTGTGCCAAGGTTACACACAATAGATTTATATGGTAGAGCCACGCTGCAGCTATATTATGGTTGTAACACGAATGGGTCGGCTCGACCGGAACTACGCTCTCACACAATACCGGCGTAAAATAGGAGCTTAATGCAGCTGTGTTTCGTTTGGTGAGTGTAGAGAACCGGAGACCCGTTTTTCTGGAAACGTGGTATTCCATATTAGTTCCTAAAGGGTGACAACGCATCTGCATTTTGATTCTTAATCGAGAATAAATGTAGATGTCTATGAGCGACAGCAGCCACCTACCATCAGGTGGACTGCGTGCTCGTTTGTCAACCCTATTCTATAAAAAACAAATTGTTACCATATCTGTACACAAGACGCGTGAGTCGAGCAGTGAAACTTTCAGCTACGGTACAGATCCCTGGAGTTCCAGCCGCGCTCTCGCACCGGTCGAGCGTGACTAGAAACGCGAATAGCCGCACGCGGCACACCGTTACCGTAACTTTACTAGGTGGTGGGACACCTTCTCTGCCAAGAAATCGGTCTGGGTAAGTATCCACACACTTACACCAATTTTTGCTACCAAATAGTAACACTGCGTATAACATCGAGGATAAATGTGGATGTCTATGGACCACGGCATCCACTTACCACAGGTGGACTGTGTGCTCGTTTGTCAGCCTTATTCTATAAAAAAGCATTAAAATTTAAATCGGTTATTTAAAGGTTTAAAAAAAGTAAAGTTACTGTCGTATTGCTGGACACAGGCCTAACCTAATTTTTGAGAGGGTTATGGAACAATTCGTTGCTAACGCCGCAAAGGAGCGAACCTCAATTTTTTACAAATTACTGGAGAGTAAGATAACATTTGTTATTCCTCGATTACTAGCTTTTTCTACCGACTTCAAAAAGGAATCGGTATTCAATTCGACTGTATGTTTTTTTATGTGTGTTACCTCATAACTTTTTACTGGTGAACCGATTTCGATGATTCTTTTTTTATTTAAAAGCTGCTACTTCACATGTGGATTCATATAAATTTTATCAAGGTCTGACCAATAATTTTTGAGTTACTCTTAATAATTTATATTGAAGTCGGTTGTACAAAATTTTTAATTTTATATTATTTTATCAGAAAATAAAATTTATTACACTTAATGGAAAACTACAAACAATATTAATTTTACTGATGAAAAAAAGGGTATATAATAAACGTTTTCTTGCTCACCTATAATTTTTAAAAAATTGAGGTTCTTTCCATCGCGGCGTTGGCGGCGAATTGGTCTGCCGCGTTGTTCCAGTGCATGTCGGCGGACATCACATCATGTTCCCGAAATATTTTATTCCCTTATTCCTCAGATACCCTACGATGTTTTCCTTCACCATCGAGCACGTGATAAATCATTATCATTAAAATTAATTCTAACAAAGTACTATTAAAATGACAATGATTCCTTTGCGTGGATTGGTGAAGGCATTACATGGCATTAGTATTTTAAATCTGTTACTTTCGAAATGGATATGTCACAGTCAAAAGTCATAACCGGTCAAAACCACTTCTGACTGCAAAAATCAGGCAAAAATGGTTTTGACCGATGCCCTTAGTCAAAAACAGTTTGGACTGATTTTGTCTTCAAAGAAGAGAACAGGTAGTCAAAAGTGGTTCTGACTAACGTTCTTGATTAAAAGTGGTGTTGTCTGATTTAAACTTCAGATTTTCAGTCAAAACTCGCAATATCAGTAACAGTAGGGTAAGTTGCATTTACCTAATGATGTAAAATATATCTAATATTGAAGAAATTGAACTTTTTTTTTAATAGTATAGGGTGATAAACGAGCACACAGTCCACCTGATGGTAAGCGGTTGCTGCAGCCCATTGACATCTACATCTATCCCCGATTTTTTTTTTTTTTTATACAAAAAACGTTACCCCCACACTAGGATTTTCTCCTGTGTCGTGGAGGCAGTTTACAAACATAAATTGCACAAGGACAAACATCCAGACCCGGAACAATTATTTGTAGTCCATACAAATACTTGTTCCGTGCGGGATTCGAACCCGCAGCCCCCAGCGCAACAACTGATTGCTAAGCCACTGCGCCACGGAGCCGTCATTACAAATCAGAATGCAGATGCGTTGTCACCCGTGAGTGAGGACTAAGATGGAATGCCTCATTTCCAGTAAAAAGGGTCTCCGGTTTTCTACATTCACCATACGAAACACAGCAGCGTTAAGCTGCTGTTTTACGCTGGTATTCTGTTAGAGTGTGGTCCTTCCCCGGTCGAGCCGACCCATTCGTGCCACAACTATACCACTAATATGGCTGCAGCATGGCTCTACCAAGTACAAAAAAAATATTTTTTTAATTTAATTTCGGAAATTGAAAAAGTATAAGTCAAAAGAAGTTTTGACTAACATTGTTAGTCAAAACCACTTTTAACCGATGTAATTTGGTAAAAAGTGGTTAACACTATTACCCAGTATTTTTGCAGTTTAAAGTGGATTTGACCAACGGTCTTACACAAAACTACTTTTGACTGCAGTGGTATTGACAAACGTCCTTAGTCAAAACTACTTTTGGTTGATTTTTAGAGTTTAAAGTGGTTTTGACTAGTTATGAGTTTTGACTAACAGATATACTGTATACCGCCATCTGTGGAAGCCACTACATATTTCTAACATTTCCCAATAACGACGATATAGGTTGACGAATTCTCTTAAGCCACTACCACATGGCATCGAAATCAGAATAAAACACCTGCCTTCTGCTTTATCATTATCAGCATGTGGCGGGTACAAGGAAAAGGGGAGATCTCCCGCCGGGCAAGGTGTTCTGCCCGGGGAGCGGCCAACGCTCCGATTGGTAGTTCAGAGCAATTGTATATATGCTGCTTTAACTTCGGAACTTTGTTAGTGCGATTTAGGCTTCGATGTGTTTCGCTTGTGGCGCGGCGACAGCGCCGCCACAAGCAGGTACAAGTCCAATTCAGGACATGGGCCTTACCTCTACGGAGTTTAAGCTCTAATCGTTATTATTGACAGGCGGACTGATGACCACAGTACCAAATTTTAATATTTTTGACGCTGCGGCCCGTCGTCGTTTTGGGTATTTTTACGTCTGTTGTAAACAGTATAGTTATACCACTATATTTAAGAAGCCCTATGCTTTTCTAGCATTTCATACAGTCGTCTCTTACGACAGAGCTTAAAAACTACAAATCTTATTAAAAAAAAAAACGGTAATTAATTTAGATAAATACCTTTATAACGTTACTACATTCGTACTACCGTGACTGCCATGTTGGTTTAATGGTTGTAGTAGTGCCACTGCTGATCATGAGGTCCCGGGTTCAAATCCCGGGTCGGGCAAAAAAAATCAGTTATTGAGTTTTTCCATCAAGAAATTCTCAGTAGCTGCCTAGTCAGGAAGTTGGCGGTGTCTCACCCCCTGTGCCTCGGAAAGCACGTAAAGCCGTTGGTCCTGCGCCTGATCTCTCTCCGTTCGTGTTGGTTTACCGTCCCATCGGACTATGGGAGTGAGGGAATAGAGAGTGCACCTCTGCTTGCGAATACACGTGGGCACTATAATCCTGTCCTGCACCGATGGCTAGTCTCTGTTGAGACTGGCCGCCGTGGCCGAAATTCGATCTGGAGAACATTATTATTATTATTATTACTACCGTTACGTTATCTAGGTATGGTTTGTTATCGTTGCCTCTGCCGAGTTATCGTGTAGATGAAAAACTTTATCGGTTAATAGAAATTATCGATAAAATAACGTTATCGAGTGAAATGTAAAGCTAATTATGAAACCACAGAGTATGGAATCCATTTAAATTGTTAGTTGCGATTTTAAAACATACACATGTTTAACACATTTTAAGAAGTGCTCGTCGGTGTTGTAATTTTATGTACATACGTCGTTATCACACTGAAAGTCACATTGGAACGGCTCGATATTGTTAACGCGTAACTATTAATAAATAACTAAAATTAACCGTAACGTTACTGATTTTGAACGTTTACTGATTAACGTTAAATCATAAAGATACATGTAGATATAACGGTGCGTAACAACATCGCCAACTTCCTGGCTTCAGGCTGCTACTGAGAATTTCTTTACAGAAAAGAAAAACCCATAACTGTTTTTAGCCCGACCTGGGATTCGAAGCCGGGACGCCATGCTCAGCTGTCATGCTTTATGATCACTAGACTAACGAGACAGTCAACATCACTTAACCGTGTGGTGGCGTGGCGGTGTAAAATAATCCATCACTCCGTTTCATCCCGTCGGTGTCGCAAGAGACGACTTTGGGGAATGCCAGAAAGGGCTTATGGCCATCTTCTTAAGTCAGACATCATAAAATATCCAGACAGAGACAGTAGATTGAGCAGTCAATACCCAGCAATAATCTGATAGTAATGTTCATAGAGAAAAAAGAAAAAAAAAGTGTGCCTGCAGGTGGCTATTACCGAATAATATGGCTGCAACAGCCATATTGTTCGTTATACCACAGAATAAATAATAATACAAGGTTATACCCAGAATCTAAGGCACGAGTCGAATCTTAGGTGAGAGTAAGTAGAGGCCCACTAAGAATGACGATTAGGGAAATCCTCCCTACGACAGTAGAAACCTATGTTCAGCGGAGGAATTTTACCTGCTGATGAATAAGAAGTATGAAGAATTCATTATTAATGAAATTTCCACCATTGAAAATGGCACCTATTGCTACTGCCATTCTGTAGTTGAATCTAAATAAATATGTAACAAAGTTAAAAATAAATGTGTACGCGCAGCCAGCGTAGGGCTTCTATCCGTTCAAGTTTCCCCGAATTTGTCCTACTTTAAAAGGCATCCGTGAGACCTACAAGCAAAGTTTTCATTGTGTCCGAATAAAATCACGAAACATTTAGAGATCGTGATACTTGGCGATTTAAATATTTTTTATTATTAATTTTAACGCCCACCACGCCGAATGGCTTGGTTCGGTGTTTGACTTTGCTTTGGCATATGATCTGACATAACTAGTTACTTCGCCTACGCGGTTTCCAGATGTGGAGGATCATATCACCTTCCCTGTTAGACCTTCTGCTGACCTCTCGTCCGGACGGATATCAGGTTTCGGTCGATGCCCCTCTCGGCTCTTCGAACCGTTGTCTGATCAGGAGTGTAGTACCACTCACGCTACCCTCGCGGTTACGTTCTGCAGGCTGCTGCCGTATTTGGCATTAGAGGTCGGTGGATTGGGACGGAATGCGGTCTTTCTTTGCATACTACCCATGGGGGCGGATTTGCTTTTTGCCGGATGTCCCAGCACTGTTGCTGACTCTGTCACTGATGTTGTGCTACAGGGAATGGAACTATTTATTCTATTATCTGTGGTACCCATCGAAGGCAAATCTCAGCTTTGGTTTGGTCACTCCTGTAAGATTGCATTGCGCAGTAAGCAGGAGCGTTATCAGGCCTGGGCTGAGGCTTCGGCGGCTCGGGAAATAAACACCAGCATGCTTATAAAGAAGAATAACTTCGCCTCTAGGTCCTTCAAGAGTTATTGCCAAGGCAAAGTTTGAGCATACTGACAGAATAGGCGAGAAATTAGTTTACCTTCCTTCGGGAACCCGTACACTCTGGTCTCTCGCCAAGGTTATTCAAGGGAATTTCTGTAAGCCATCACTACCATCTTTGCACAGGGAGGACGACTCACTGGCCCACGTCGCAAAAGAAAAAGCCGACCTTTTAAGCTCCATTTTTGCGTCCAACTCGACTCGCGATGACGGAGGGGGAACACACCGCCGATCATCCCGCAGTGTGAGTGCTCTATGCCTGATGTGCGATTCACACAGTGCTCAGTACGCAAAGCACTCCTCTCCCTGGACATACTCAAGTCGAGTGGGCCTGACGGAATTCCGCCAATTGTGCTGAGGACGTGCGCTCCAGAGTTGGTACCGGTTCTAACGCGTCTTTTCAGGTACTCCTATTCCCTAGGCATTGTCCCGAATTCATGGAAGACAGCTTTAGTGCACCCGATCCCTAAAAAAGGTAAACGCTCTGATCCGTCCAACTACAGGCCAATCGCTATCACGTCCTTGTTCTCGAAAATAATGGTGTCCATTATTCACTGCCAGCTCATGCGGTACCTTGAGGAGCACCAGCTGATTAGTGACCGCCAGTACTGTTTGTGTCGAGGTCGCTCAGCTGGCGATCTTCTTGTTTATCTAACACATAGATGGGCGCAGGCGATCGAGTCGAAAGGAGAGGCATTGGCCGTTTGGACATAGCGAAGGCCTTCGATCGGGTCTGGCACAAAGCACTTCTCTCGAAGCTTCCTTCCTATGGGCTTCCCGAGAAATTGTGCAACTGGATCACCATTTTTCTGGCTGATCGGAGCATCAAGGTCGTAGCAGACGGTGCATGTTCCGATTACAAGCCTATTAACGCTGGTGTTCCACAAGGCTACGTGCTATCACTAACGCTGTTTCTTAATGCATATCAATGATATGTTGCAAACCGGCAACATTCATTGCTATGCGGATGACAGCACTGGTGATGCTCTATACACCGGCCGTGCCAATAATTCTCGGGAAAACGTCGAGTACCGGAACAAACTTGTGTCTGAAGTCGAGTCTTGGCTAAACAAAGTCTTGGATTGGGGGCGACTAAATCTAGTCTAGTTTAATCCCCTAAAGACACAAGTTTGTGTGTTTACCGCCTAAAAGGACCCCTTTGTCGTATCTCCTCAGTTTCAAGGCACTCCCCTTGTTGCCTCAGCCAGTATCGGAATCCTCGGCGTCGACATATCGAGTGACGTGCAGTTTCGTGGTCACTTGAAAGAGAAGGCCAAATTGGCCTCTAAAAAGCTTGGCGTGCTCAGCAGAGCGGGACAGTATTTCATGCCGGTACACCGCCTGCAACTTTACAAGGCGCAGGTTCGGCCTCACATGGAACACTGTTGCCATCTCAGGGGGCTGGGGCTCCCAAGTGCCAGCTCCTTCCACTTGACCGCATCCAGCGCAGAGCGGCTTGAATCGTTGACGACCGATCCTTTCCGATCGCTTGCGCTGCGAAGAGATGTTGCATCTTTTTGCGTATTTTATCGCATCTACCACGGCGGGTGCACTGAGGAATTGTTCGGACTAATTCCAGCTGCTCAATTTCACCATCGCACATCGCGACAAAACTCGCGATACCATCTATACCACCTGGATGATTGGCGGTCCAGCACTGTGCGATTTAGAAGAAGTTTTCTTCCTCGCACAACTTCCATGTGGAAGCGATTACCACCAGCGATTTTTCCAGACCGATACGACTTAGTGACCTTCAAGAAAAGAGCCTACTCATCTTTAAAAGGCCGGCAACGCATCTGCAATTCCCCTGTTGTTGCAGTTGTTCATGGGTGGCGGTAATCACTTACCATCAGGCGAGCCGAATGCTCGTTTGCCCCCTCTCCTATTAAAAAATACTTAGGATTTGGCCACCGCCATGCGTGATATTTGTTGCCAATCCTTGGCCTAAGTCTCGCAGTGTTCGGTTTTCTAGCTGATGAGGAGAAAGACTAGAGAAATTAAATGTAATATTAACGCCGAGTAATGGCGGTTTAAGAATATCCACTACCCAATATCGTCCCGTGAGTGTCGTAAAGGCAAAGGGATACAAACGAGGAGGCGGGCAGCAGCGTCTCCCTAAATAACATCTATAAAAAATACTGCAGTTGCCAACCCGTTTGCCAAGCGTGGCAGCTATGGCAAATATCCCCCCATGAGACAATTTATTGTGGATATTTTATTGATTTACTAAGTTCAGCAGTCGGCTTTTGATAGTCTGTAATGGTAAAGGTATGCTATGGTATTCCGTGTGGTAGAGACGTTAGAGAATCCATCACATTAGTTCCGTGGGTGTCGTTAGAGGGCGCTGTTGAACGTGATAGAAAAATCATATGGTTTCCAAAAGATGGTGGTATCCTACATCTCTATTTATTTATGGTGGTATCATTCCCCATCTATCTCGTTTACGCCAGACGAGCTTCGACGAGCAGCAGCGTCAAAGGTGTAAGACAGCGTAACAATGTGGACATCCACGATTTTTCTGCCACCAGGGCGGCGCGGCGCCACTTAGCTATGTGGTGAAATATTTTACAGATTTCATACCGGGGGAAGTGAATTTGTTAGAGTAGTGCAGAAATTAATGCTTTTCTTTGAAATTTTTGTTATATTTTATATTAATTAGATTACAAATGGTTAAACTAAACAGAAACAGAAACTTTTTTAGTCAATATAGATTATAAATAATACTTATTGAAAGTCACTCTTTTGTTTAATTACCACTGGTTCGAAAAACAACCTCTGTCCTGGGAAGAATCAGCAATAAACTCAGCAAGACTTTTTTTTTTAATAACAGCTAATTGAATTAAACAACAGTAATGATACAATCATGTAATCACAATTACCCACACAAAACAAATTAGAAATAGTTAGGTAGCGATCACCTCATTCCCAGAGGTTATTATCATCCATTATCATCCAACTACTGATATTCCTAAAAGTAAATAATTAAATAAAAGTCGAGCGAGTCGGACTCGCACATGAAGGCTTCCGTACCATCGTAATACACGTTTCTAGTAGAGAAGCCCGTTTTAATTTTTAATTTATATTATTTGTTGTTATAGCGGCATCAAAATACACATCCTGTGAAAATTTCAACTGTCTACCTATTGCGGATCATGAGATACAGCCCGCTGACAGACAGACGGACGGACGGACGGACTGACGGACAGACGAACGGACGGACGGATAGCGGTGATTCAGTAATAGGGTCCCGTTGGTTACGCTTTGGGTACTGAACCCTAAAAATTTAAAATGTGTAAAATTAAAGAATACGGCGGTGATGCCACTAGAAACCGAAAAACTTATGATTAAATCGTAACTTTTCAATGATGACACTGTGATCATCTGCGTAACAAATAAAGTTCACCTTAGTCCCAACTAGCGACATCTGGTGAGCGTAAAATGATTATAAAAACTCTCTACAACATTAGAGGCCTATATCTAGCAGCGGCCTGTAACGGGCAAAAAGATGTAAATTAAAGTCCTTGTAACAATTTATTTTTATTTTTATAGAATAAGGGTGGCAAATAAGCATACAGTCCACCTGATGATAGGTGGTTGCTGTGGCCGATTGACAAGTAGACATCTATCCTCAATTAAGAATCAAAATGCAGATGCGTTGTCATCATGTCATCCCTTACGACTAAGGTGGAATGCCTCGTTTCCAGTAAAGAGGGTCTGCGGTTCCCTGCACTCGCCATACGAAACACAGCAGCATTGAACTGCTATTTTACGCTGGTATTATGTGAGAGCATGTTCTTATCCCGGTCGAGCCAAACCGTGCTACATCCATAACATAGCTGCAGCATGGCTCTACAAAGTGAAGCGTAACAAATGAACTTTATTACATGTTTTAGAGGCGGAGTGTAAAAAGCGCTGGAGATCGCTTCGCGATTCCTTCATTAAGTTGCAGCGCACGCATGGCGGCCGTACGCGCTGGTCCTACCATCACGCCATGCGTTTCTTGCTGCCACACGTCGAACCCAAGTCGGAAATGTAAGTTTTTAGTGTGTGTGTGTGTGTGTCTTTAAGTTTTAATTTATTATAAAAATAGCAGCTTAACACTGCTGTGTTTCGTATGGTGAGTGTAGAGAACCAGAGACCCTATTTACTGGAAACGAGGCATTCCATCTTAGTCCTTACGGGTGACAACGTATCTGCATTTTGTTTGGTCATCAAGGATAGATGTAGATGTTTATGAGCCACAGCAACCACTTAACATCAGGTGGACTGTGTGCTTGTTTGTCACCCTATCATATAAAAACAAGCCAATAATTAGCTACTAAGTGTTTCTTCATCCCACCTAGTAAGTGGTGATGAAGCCCTGGATAGTAAATATATAAATAAATAAATAATAGGAAATGGCGCTAGGCGCTCTATTTATTTGGTTAAAATTAAACCATTTTTGATAGAATAGGGTAACAAACGAGCACACACCACGTGATGGTAAATGGATACTGTGGCCCATAGAATCTACATTTATCCTCAATTAAGAATCAAAATGCAGATGCGTTGCCCCCCCCCCCCCCCCCAGCACTAAGACGGAATACCTCGTTTCCAGTAAAAAGGGTATCCGGTTCTCTACACTCACCATACGAAACACAGCTGCATATAGATGCTATTTTACGCTGGTATTCTGTGAGAGCGTGGTCCTTCACCAGTCGAGCCGACCCATTCGTGCTACAATCACAGCTGTAGCGTGGCTCTATCACGTCGGAAACTTTTTTTTGTATATACCTACGGAGCTTAAAATTTTTAATAGTTTCATCAAATACGAGAGAAAGCTCGCATACTTTATTTTATATAGGTAATCGTAGAAAATACTTTTGTCCTATCGCATGTTCATCTGGGATCTAAATGTTTAATTTTTTTTATAAGACTTTCAAAAAAAAAAAGAATCAGCAACAAATGGGATATTGAGTTTGTGATTGTGCCTACACCGTCGGGGATTAGGTATAGGCGAAACTTATAAATATGTATAGTAGTAATTCTCCGTTCACAGTCCACAGAACATTAGTTTTATAATATAACATTGTGTTAAATTGATCCCAACTGTTGCAACGCGTTGACTTTCCGATCTTCGCTCTACTTCAGACAAACGATCTAAATCAATTTCACGAGCTTATCGAGCGACTTATCACTCTGTTTGGTAAATTCCGTATTGGATGTCAAACTTTTACGATACCTAATAGAAAAGAACGGATAGTTAATTCACTTATCAGGCCAGTTTACAATAACTTTTATTAGCTACAACACAAGTATGACTAAATAACTCTATCCATCTTAGATCTAACAAGTGGTAAAATTAAAAACTTTGTACAACCGACTTCAATATAAATGAAATGAGAACATCATCAATGTAGTCGAACTCAATTAAATACGCATGATTGAGGATAACTCAAAAACTACTACTGGTTAGATCTTGATCAGATTTATATGGGACATTAGAGGCACGCGCTAACAAATATTTAGAATTTAATTAAGAATCATCAAAATCGGTTCACCTTCTAAAAAGTTCTGTTCACACTTAAAAATACAGTCGAATTGACTACCTCCTTCTTTTTTGAAGTCGGTTAAAATGATAATGAAGTAATTAAAAATATTTAACTTCCATACATGCTCATCGAAATGGAAAAATGTGACAAACTATAACATTTGTTTTATACATCTTAGTCCTCATGGGTGACAACGCATCTGCATTTTGATTCTTAATTGAGGATACATGTAGATGTCTATGGTCCATAGCATCCACTTACCATCAGGTGGACTGTGTTGATCATTGATGTCAGGTGGACATCGTTTGTCACCCTTAAACACATAATTTATAAAAAAACACAAGAAGTACAAGAGCACTAAATAAGAGAATTATTTAACATGGTAAAGCCACGCTGCAGTCATATTATGTCGGCTCGCCTGGGAAAGGATCACGTCATCACGGAGTACCAGCGTAAATAGGCAGCAAAATGGCTCTTACTTCCTGGGTTAATTGGGAGAGAATGGCAAAGGCAATAAGTCCGTCCTTTGTAACCCTTTTCATTAAACCGTTATAAATAAATTATAAATAAAGAACGCTATTAGATAAATTAATTTTCCTTTTTCGTACTCTTTTCATTTAATCCATTATATGATATCATACATAATCTTCACTTATCTTTATTTATATGTATTTGCATATTTTTATTTTTATTTTGTACGCCCCCCTCTATTTTTAACTATTGTTTGCATCAGTTCTCTACGCTAATTTTGTCTGGAAGAGATCACTTTCAAAGTGATAAGACTGCCTGTTGTACATATTCTACTTTAGATTTAACTGTACTCGTTATTTTGTATTTTGGTGTACAATAAAGAGTAAATAAATAACATAAATAAATAAAAATTAATAAAATAAAAAACATATTTTCTTCGGTATTTTCTTATCAAAATACTTTTGCTGGTTAAACAAAATAAAAAAGAAGTTATCTTCGAGCTCGCAGAAGTACTTTAGCCTCTCTATAGTAGAGGGGATTTGCTGGATGCCACGCACGTTCGTTTATCATCATCATCATTCTGACGTTTCTATAATCGCCTCTTACGACAGCTATAAAATACAACCAATGATATTTTTTAGGACGTCTAAAAGAGAACTCGACGACTCCGATCCCGAAGAAGAGGTCCGCCAACGTACCACGAACAGTCTTCCCGACCTGTCGTTTCCGGGAGTAGACAGCCTCAAATACGAAGAGGATGAAGATTCCCAACCTTCTCCGAAGAAGATCCGCCTCCAGTCGACTGACGAGGAAAGCTCCTGCCAATGCAACAGAACTGATCCCGATGAGTTGTTCCTACTAAGCTGTTCATCTACTTTAAAACGGCTAAACTCCAAGCAGAATGCTGTGGCGCGACTCAAGATCCAGCAGGTTCTTTACGAAGCCGAGTTTGGCAGCCAGATGGAGCTGCCCTACGTCACACCTGCCAGCGACTGTGGTTACGAAAACGTTGAAGAAACTGGCGAATGAAAATATATTTCACTTTAAATTAAGGCTGGGTGTTCCAAGCGTATTAGGTAATTCACAAGCGGTCGTCGCAAAGATCGAGTCGGGACGCGCATATGATCTTAATTTTTACAAAATAATCACAAAACATTATTTTAAAGTTATAAACAAATATTTACATATTGAGAAATAAACACACAAACAAAAGCTTAACTATAGTCTATATAAGTTCCATAAAACTATAGTTATTTATAATTTATTTTATTTCCTAAATATTATTTACGTAGCAGAAGAGAAGCGCGGCAACGACCCGCGGGACACTGGCAAGGTGTCAAGCTACGCGCGGATCGAAAATCACTTGAATAATCGATAATTTTTTAATAAATGTAATGCAAGAAAAAAACCATGGGTGGAATCGATTTCAAAATGAATTATCTATAAATTTATATTTTTCATAGAAAAAAAAGGAGTATTAGTAATTGTTTAAAATGAAATTTGGCTTGTAAAAACTGCAAATCGAACGATAATTTATTCTATCGAGAAAATTGTATTGTATCGTGTATTGACCGGAGTAAGGTAAGTAGAAATAATGTATCTAAGATATTTTTTTCAGATTCTAAATGTAGAACGGACAAAAACAGGAACACCCAGCCTTAACTAAGGGTCCTTGCAGATGATACGTTGAATCTTGCGCAAGTGTAAAATATTTATCTTGTAAACACTTTTTGATTAGTATAAGTGCAGTGCAACTACATTCTGTACCAATTTTAGTCCCTGCGCAAGCACGACAAGTGTGTTCTTCTCAAATCTCAAACCCCCTCGTCGCTTTTGTATGTTAATTCACTGCGCATCGTATGAACTTCATGGCTTCTCTTCACCATCGGCTATGATGAACAAATACAGGCGATTACGATCGAGTGGAAAGATAATCGCCCATAATTGCCCAAGATCGGTAACGACCGAGCGTAACAAATAGTTGTGTCGGTTTTTAGAATAAACATCAAATGAAGTACAGCCATGATTGTGGGCGTGTCCATTCGATCGTCGATCACTTAGTTCATTAGCCAAGTAATTAATAAATATATACGTGTATAATACCATAGAAAAAATAAATATTTACTTACATTAACTTATCTCGGTTTATTTCGATGTATAGTTAGCATCCACTACCTCCGTTACAATCTTTTTTCACGGCTTTTTTATGGTGTACTTTTATAAACTTAGTGGCTATATACACTGATTAAATGATAGCAATTATCAAATTAGACTGCACAGTCGTGTGAACAGCTGCGCAATTATGGCATGGCCTATTACGTGGCTGTCAATCATAGCCGATAGTGTAGAGGAGCCATGACATAATAGGGTAATATCGCCAGTTAATACCTATTACGCCGTATTGTTCGTCGGCGTTTTTAAAAACTTATTGCGTATCCGTAGCGGTATAGGCTGTACACTAAACAATCAACTACGTTTGAACATTGGTGAGTACTGATGAATTGTACTTGCGCAAGTTACTGTGCGACGTCTGTAACAGGCTTAATTGAGTGAATCGTGATCGTGTACCAAGTGAAATAATTTCGCCGCCATTAATCGAGAGAGTGTCGAGGTTTTATTCGCCTTTTTTTAAATAAATTATATTTCGATATATCATCACTTTTTTATTATTCTCATTTTCGGTATTATCTGCTTGCAATTAGCCCACATCTCGAGATATTATTGATACACTGTGGTTCCTCCTGGCCGATTTTGATTCTTATTTATAAACGAATGTACTTTTTTCCTCCGTGGTGGTGTTCGATCTTCGCCGACACCAATGAAATTGTTGATTGCAATTTTAAGTGCTGATTTGTCACGTGCTCGGCGGTGAAGGAAAACATCGTGAGGAAACCTGCATGTCTGAGAAATAAAAAAGATATTTCGAAGACATTTAATGTTCGCCAACACGCATCGGGGCAGCGCGGCGGACGTTTACTTGTCCAAAAACCCTCTCAGAAATGAGAGGAGGCCTGTTCTCAGCTGTGGGACGTATGTATATAGGCTGTAACTTTAACTTTAACTTAGTGGTAACGCTTCTTTTCTTCCCAATAATTTAAGAAAATTCACTCATAATTATTAAAATAATACTTTTTAGTAACGACTTATTGTGGACAGGGTGAACGTCTTATAACATTCATGGAAAATAGTAGTTGGAATGAAAATATGAAAAGTATTATTTTATAAGCCTGATAGCTATTGGCTACTACGGTCCATGAATACAGTTTAATTTTAGTTTAAACACACAATTTTTATTCTAAAGCACTGCTGTCTCTACCTTATATATAATAAAGAAACTGTGTTCCTAAATACAAGATATAACCAAAATAATAGGTCGGGGAAAAAGTTTCTTCGTATTTTAAATACAAATTCAAGATATTTTTTTTTCAAAGTTTAATTACATTTAATTTTTTTTATAGGATAGGGTGACAAACGAGCACACAGTCCACTTGACGATAAGTGGTTGCTGTGACCCATAGACATCTACATTTATCCGCAATAAATAATCAAAATGCAGATGCGCCGTCACCCGTGAGGACTAGGATGGAATGCCCCTTTTCCAGCAAAATGGGTCTCCGGTTCTATACACTCACTGTACGAAACACAGTAGTGGCAATGCTGACATTTTACCCTGGTATTCTGTGAGAGCGTGGTCCTTCCCCGGTCGAGCCGACCCATTCGTGCTACAACTTCCGGACATAGCGAAACTAGAAGAGTTCCTTATATTAAGGGTTGTTTAACTACAATACCCTAAGAAAGGTCTCAAAGGATCGCTTTTTTCAAAATCTCATATACTCGTAATGATTTTTAAATTTTCCGCAAAGTAACTCCTGATTCCATTAATTATATTACTAGATATTGTCAAACGTGACGAAAAAAGACTACATTCAACATTTGACGTGGCGAACCACAATCGCTATTTTTCAGTGTTGCCCGTTTCGTCTCTTTCGATAGTTTGAACAGTGGTCAATCTTAATAAATTTTAAATAAATGTTATCGGTAAATAGCAAAAAAAAAATCACGAGACTAGACTAGACTCTACATTACTTGTGTTCTAATAGTTAAGCTTAAAATCTAAAGAACTAAACGACAGCGATGGAACATGAATGATTCGAAATTTTATAAAGAAAATAAAAAGATAAAAGAAACCACAACGAAATTAAAGAGTAAAACTACAAAGGTGTGTATTTTATTAAATCGTAAAATGTAGATTACTCGGTTTTCTGATGGTTTAATAGGTGTAATTTGTATTTAATGTTATAGCGATTATTTATTATGTCGTTATAGTTTTACTATTGCATGCCGTAAGCGCAACGCGCGTATATATATGTGCTACTTCATCATCATCATCATCATTACAGCCTTTCATAAGTCCACTGTTGAACATAGGCCTCCCCCGAGGAATGCCACAAAGCACGGTCCTGAGCCATATGTTCTACTAGCGCCTAAAAATCAAAATTCTAACGTTTTGTCGCATGAAATCGTATATAGCAATCACATTATAGGGGGTGCTAAGAATCTCCGGTGGAGGTTCGGTTGCCACCTTAGACGACTCGACCTGGCAACGTACAACGCATGCACCCTGAGGACTGACGAGAAGATCGTGGAGCTGGAAGAAGAGATAGACAAGTTGCGCTGGCATATTATAGGATTATCCGAAGTCCGAAGAGAGGGGGAGGACACGGTAATCCTCGAATCCGGCAACTTGCTCTATCACCGGGAGGGCGACCATCTGTCCCAAGGAGGTGTCGGATTTATCGTCCACAAGTCTCTCGTTAACAACGTTGTAAAGATCGGGAGTGTGTCGACGAGGGTTGCGTGCCTTATACTCAGAATCACCAAACGGTATTCGCTGAAGGTCATACAGGTTTACGCACCAACCTCGGCACACCCCGATGAGGAGGTGGAGGAAATGTATGAGGATATCTCTAGAGCCATGCATTCCTCCAAAACCCAATATACGGTGTTAATGGGAGACTTCAATACAAAACTAGGCACAAGAGAGAACGGTGAGCTGAAAGTAGGGAAATTTGGAATAGGGCAACGGAACCCAAGGGGCCAGCAGCTGGCCGACATCATGGAGAAAGAGGGACTCTTTATGATGAACTCTTTCTTCCAGAAGCGGCCCCACAGGAAGTGGACCTGGTCGAGCCCCGATGGTTCGACAAAAAATGAGATTGACTTCATTATGACGACCAGACGACAACTGTTTAGTGATGTCTCCGTGATCGCGAGGGTGAAAACTGGTAGCGATCACCGAATGGTTAGAGGCACACTGAACCTAAACGTTAAGTTGGAGAGGTCCCGTCTAATGAAGTCAACGCTCCGTCCCCCTCGTGCTTTGTTCCAAAGTCCCGAAACCTTTCAGCTCGAGTTACAAAACCGTTTTCAGTGCCTAGAAGACTGCAATGAAGTGGACGATATGAATGACAAGCTCGTGGAAACTGTCCATGCGGTCGGAGCTAAGTTCTACAAGACCCGCCGCAGAAGAACACAAAAACTCTCCGATCACACTCTTAATCTCATGGCTGTTAGACGGGAGATGAAGCTACATTCTTCAACAGACTTGACAGCATACAGGCATCTGAACAGACAGATCTCGAAATGCATGCGGCGGGACTTACGCAACTTCAATACAGCTCGTATTGAAGAAGCGATCGAGCGGAACCAAGGCTCCAAAGTCTTTGCCAGAGATCTGTCTACCAGAAAGAGCCAATTGTCAAAGCTGAAGACAGAATGTGGCAGCATCGTTTCCGGGACACCTGAGATTTTGAGTAAGATTGAGAGGTTCTATGGGCAATTGTACACGTCATCGTTGGAGCCACACGCAAGTGTGAGTAACGATCCAAGAGCGAGTCTCATCCGACACTATTCCGAAGATATCCCGGACGTCAGTCTGAGCGAGATTAGAATGGCTCTCCAGCACCTTAAAAACGGTAAGGCCCCAGGCGAGGATGGAATTACAGCGGAGCTTCTGAAAGCGGGTGGAA